GGGGGGGGGGGGGGGGGGGGGGGAGGTGAGGGGGACAGGAAAAAACCAAAAAAATCTAAATTAAAATTGAACCATACCTATATGAGTTTGTTTTGGCATTTGCACACGACAAACTAAAGAGATTTTGTTTGAAATTTGATAACGTCTTCAATATACCCTTTAATATGATCATTCTACAGTTTCGTGTGAGCTTGAAGTCTTGAACAGATTTCGAACCGGTTCACTTGGGTTTTTTCAGGGTTTTTTTGGTCAGTCGTCGTTTTTTTGTAGAAACTGCCTCATGCTAACTAGTATCATCAGGATAACGTCCATATCAGTACATGACTACATAATGTGAATCAATTACCTTGTCTGGAACACACACTGGCAGTGAATAATAATGATACGTTTCATGAGGATTAAAATAGGGTCCAACTTTATTCACATACAGAGGAACCTAAAAACACAAATCATATATCAACTATTGTATGTCTCCTCATACTGTAGGTAGGGTTCCAGGGCTCAAATTAATAGAGAGTTACGGATCGACATTTACAGTTACGACAGACCGCTAACCACAAATGGCAAACTTCAAATCCCATTTCAAGGTACGTTCTTCAAGTGTAATTTTGACATTTCTTCAGGGGTGTATATTCTTCTATAATCCCCCCCCCCCCCCCTGGGATGGGGGAAAAGAAGCAAAGGGTCTTAGGGAAGAAAATCAAAGAAGAGTGGAAAAAATGGAAAGGCAGAGGGAAAAGAAGAGAAAAATTTCCGTGGGTTTTTTAAGTTTAGATATAGGTAATGAGAACCATATTGGTGTCCTAGTAATAAATTTATGCCACAATAGTCCCTAAATGTTAGTTTAAAAATGTAGTGTGAAATATGATAGTGTGATGGCCTCGTGTTGTTCGCAGAATGTATGCTTGTGAAAAAATGTTGTATTTAATAAAACTGAGAATAAAAGATAAAAAACTCATTTGTATATGTATAAATGTGAACCTAAGAAATATAAGTGTAGGTGTAGACTTGTGGAACATAAAATTGGAGATGCGTGTGTGAAATTGTAACGGAAAATATTTTGTTCTGTTCCGCGCTGTACTAAAAAGCTTGTATGGAGGCATGTAAAATATATAAAGCGAGAGAAGGAGATAGTCATGTGTGTAAAATTCAGTATCCCTGTACGCGGCGTTTCGTCCTTCATGGACTCGTCAGCAGGGATTGGGGTTGGCAATTGTGTGAGAAAGACAGAATATAGAAGCCGATTTGGAATAAAGTGAAAAAACATAAAAATTAGCAATATGTGCATATGACTATTGTATAACGTAAAATGTAAATTGTCTTGCCAAAATCGTTGTTGAGTTTGGTCAATAATTATTACTATTAGGTACAGGCCTTTGAGGCTGATGTAGTAAAGATATGGGGAAAAGAATCAAATCTGAAAAGAAGGGG